TTTTAAAAAAAAAAAAAAAAAAAAAAAAATTATGGAACCGTTGACTAACTAAAGTCAATTAATAGCCTTTTTTTAAAAAAAAAATAAAAAAAATAAAATAAAAAACATTTGGTTGCAATAGTTTTTGTGAAATTAACACGTGTAATTAAATTATTTGATAATTTGGATGAGCGAGTGAGCGCGTGTGCAGGTTGCAGCAATGGCGCCCAATGTCCCAGAGCTGTACGAGCTTCACTTCGCAGTTCCAATGGCTGGAGCCATTATTTCTCCACTCAACACTAAACTAGACGCACCCACATTGTCCTTACTCCTCCAACAACTTCACCCAAAGGTCATCTTTTTAGACTCGGACTTTCTTCCCACGCTCCTCCAATCCCTCTCCCAAACTTACGGAAACTCTATCCAATTCCCCGCTCTCGTCCTCATCCCCGCCCATCCCGACACCCCGCCGTCGGAATTCCTCGACTACAACAGAGTTCTCGAGATGAGATTTGACGAATTCACTCCGAGAACGAATTCTGAACTAGACGCTATTTCCATCAATTGCACCTCTGGCTCGACCGGGCTCCATAAGGGCGTTGTTTATAGCCATAGAGCTGCGTATCTCAACTCCCTAGCAACCATTTTTCGTAGCGGAATTTGCAAGAACACTTCCTCGCCGGTGTTCCTATGGACGGTGGATATGTTTCGGTGCAATGGTTGGTGTTTCATTTGGGCCATGGCGGCTCTAGGAGGCTGCAATATTTGCCTTAGGAATGTCACACCGGATGCCATATTCACTAATATAGAACTTCATAAAGTCACTCTTTTGTGTGGACCATCCACCCTTTTGAAAATGATCTATGAATCATCATCGTTCAATAATTGTAAGCCAGGATTTTTGCGACGTGTCGATCTCATAGTGGCTGGTGCGTTACCAATCGATGAAATTCTGACCAAAGTCACTGAACTGGGTTTTAATATAAGCTATGGTTATGGCATGACCGAAGCCATGGGGCCTGCTATGATCAGGCCATGGAAGCCAAATTTTGATGAAGAGACCGTCCAATTTGAGGATTTGATCGCATCATTGGAGATTGACGTGAAAGATCCATCGTCAATGGAGAGTGTTTTGGGAGATGGAGAAACCTTGGGAGAGGTAATGTTGAGGGGCAACAGTTTGATGTCGGGTTATTATAAGAATTTGAAAGCAACTGGTGAGGCCTTTAGTGGGGATTGGTATAGGACTGGCGATGTCGGGGTTAAACACAAGAGTGGTAGGATTGAGATGAAGGATAGAGCCAAGGATATTGTAGTGAGGGAAAATGGGGAGGGCGCGGTGAGCACGGTGCAGGTCGAGGCCGTGTTGATGAGCCACCCGGGCGTTGCGGAAGCGGCAGTGATCGGGGAGAGGTTGTGTGGGCTTGTGAAGTTGAAGAATGGGAGTAGAGCGAGCGCGGAAGAGATTGTGGAGTTTTGTAGAGCGCATTTGCCCGAGTTTATGATTCCAGAAAGAGTTGTATTTGGTGATTT